TTTATTAGTCTCTTCTAGTAAGATTTTCCGCTGTCATCTATAAAAAATACTGGTATAGACTAAACACGCTGCCAGTGAATCATATACTACATGGTGCATTAAAAGAAAACATTAAAAACAATACAAACTGGTAAATAAAGATTGAACATATCTTGGCGGGAGAACCAATTTAATAAAAGTAAAGGTGAATACGAGATAAAAAAAAAACATCAATCAGTTCTCAAAAAATATCGAAAGTAAACTATCAAATGAATATAAACAGAATTGGAAAAATCAAATAGTTATGTTGTAGTAACAATCAAACCGAGGGAAATAAATTACGAACATACAGTTTATTCAAAACAATATTTAAAACTGAAAAATACCTAGATGAAATAAAGGACTTCAGCATGAGAAGAATATTAACAAAACTAGAATAAGTGACCATAATCTAGAAATTGAATTAGGACGAAGAAGGAAGCCAAAAGTGGGAGAAAAATATGTACAAAATGTAATGATAAAGAAGTGGAAAATGAAATCCGTGTTATTTTAGACTGTGAGCGCTATAAGAAAAAACGAAAATTGCTGTTTATAGAATGTAACATAATAAATAAACAGAATAGAATAAACAATTTTATAAACTTATGCAACAACAGTTTTCCACTAGTTAAATACCTAAAACAAACAATATACAAAAAATAACGTTTTTGTTTTATGGTAATTTTTTCTTTAAAGTATTGTTATTGTAATTTTCTCTTTATTGTTGTATTTTTCTTACCATACATTACCCACAGATGGTAATTGTTGAGTAATAAAGTTATTATAAAGTGAACATGACATTCTGAAGTGTTCTTCATCCTCCACTTCATTCTTTGAACATACCTCACATATTTTTTCCTTGCTGGGGTTTTTGGTCTAGTGTGTCTTCCCTCTGGCTTTTCAATTTATAATTAGTGGTTATAAATGGTTAATTTACATGTACTTCCATTCAAGATGTTCTTCTAATAGAGTGAATACAGTATCAGGATATCAGTTCATAGAGCTATTTGATACTTCTGTGGAATTTGAGGGTATTCAACCGTCAAGGCATTGTGCTTGGCAAGTTCAAAAGTTTTATGAAAGTTATGCAACAAAGTAATTTGAAATCAGTCTTGTCACAATTTTAATTAAGTTCAAATCCAGACGAATCAATTATATTTAATCGGCAGGCGCTTCTCCATTTCACAAAGTTGTTGTACATAATTAAAACAATTAGTAACCACCTTTTGAAGTTGATAAATACAAACATGCAGCGGAGCTAAAATACATACTGTTGCACTTTTCATTTGACGAACTCAAGTTCCACACTACTCAGTTTTTAAACAATGTTTTCTTTGTACGCCACCATATCCCTCGGCATTGCAAACAAAGATAGTATAACCGATTCACCACCAGACTTTCTTGCTCAATTTTGTCTGCACTTTTTTCTTATATTCTTCAATATTTCTGAAAATGAACCCTAATTTTAGTGCCAACAGATAAAATTTGAGTCAATTTTCAGTTTTTACTCAAATAATTTGGCTATTTTGGTCCCAATCTCCTGAAAGAAAGTGCAGGCTATAATCTGAACTGTTTTGTGAATTTGTGATGAAAAGAGGAAACTGGTAGTGAAATTGATGATCTCACTAAGGAGCCACATTTGGGGTGTTACATAATAGTCCAATGTAAACAGGTCAGCCTAAAAATGACTAGGAGCACCTCGACGTGGCAAAACAAATACACTCCTGTAAAAAATTTCATATTAACTTATCCATTTGTTAACTTCTTAAAATTCTGTAGAGGTGATTATTTACCGGTACATATTAAATCATCTTACATCATAATAGAACATCATTAATTTCACTAGGCACGAGGATCATACTCAGACATTGGAGCCACAACAAATCATTTAAAAAATATTTATTGCATAGTAAAATCTCTTACATAAAATTAAACATGTACAATTCAAAAAGACTTGACAATTTGACCCAAAAAGATACCTGTATTTCATTTTCCATGAATTGTTCCATGATTTTAGTAAACATGAAAAATGTTAATCTACGTCACTAACTATGCATCACATGGTACTTGGTTATTCCCTGCAAAAATACAGACGTGAATTTTGAATCTATGCAAATGAGCTCATATTTGAACACAAGTTTCCAACAATTGGTATGAAATTTACTGTGAACGAAAAAGCAACCTAACGAGCAGTATTATTACATTTGAATTTTTTTATATTGCTATTTCTTTTGCAAAACAGGGAAATATATAGAAATACTGCTGATTGGGTTGCATTTTCGTGCACAGTAAACAAGGAGTGGAAGACACGAGCAAATGAGTAGCGAAGATCTGAGAACTATGTCTATCTGTCTTATTATTTGAAGGCAGTGAGTAGAGCCAGGTGGGACCTGTGTCAGCCCACAACACAGTATCATGTTTATTGAAATAGGACACGGGAGATAAACTGATGTGATATCATCGATTGTGAGGATATCACATGACTGTCGCTAAAAATCATAGGAAATAGGAATATTTTAAAGATTTTACAGGCACTTTTTAAAGAAATTCATCTGAGAAAGCATACATAAGATGGCTTGAAACTTTCAAATGACCAGGAAACAACTGCCAATCTCAAAAAAAAAACATTACTCAAAACACCTCATGGCAGGAAAGCCTTCAAACATTACCAGTAGACAATAGTCATCACCAGAGGGCGCTAGTCATTACTGGTTTTGGCACAGAACAACACTGAATTGCTATTTACAAGCAATAACATGGAATCCAGAACTATATTAAGAGCATCAAGAATGCATAATACTTGGAAGATACACTAACCATGGATGAATAATACCTCCATGCACTAACCTAGCAGGACACTTCCTTTTTTTCAATATCATAAGGATACATACATACTCCCTAGGTTACCCAGCAACAAAAAATCTAGAAGTTACAAATCTTAGCATCAACAAAGATGGCCAACACACCATGGCAACCAACAATAAAATCACACACAGTAAGGGTTTGCACATCAAACAATGACAATTGTTGACATAATAATACTTTGTCAAACACAAAAAAATAAATTGAATGGTGAAATATTGTTCACAGAAATTCGGCTTTGGCTTTAGATGAAGGAATAACAAACCAATGTAGACCATTCTGTTCCAATACCTGAATATTTACAAGATATGTGCATAACAGAACTAAGGTGGCCTAGGGTTAAAGGTCACATAAGTGTGACATAGCTATGACCTTTGCATTTGTTGGTTGGTTAGTTAGTTAGTTAGTTAGTTATCTCCTCCATCAGTAATTATAACTCTGCAGATAATGTTATTCTTTGCAGGGAAAATCAACTCAAAACATAAAATTCATAAACTTTAAAAAGTTAAAACCATAAAATTCTTTTCTTTGGGCTTAATTCAAATAACAATATATAGAACAATTTAGAACTTTTGAAATGTGGCCTTGAAAATAAAATTTTCAAATACTTGTACACAATAAACTTTACACACTGAAACTAGTGAAGTTGTTACACCCCCCCCAAAAATATTCAAATTGAGTTAAAATTTGGCATGCAGATTACTTATTGCTGTTTGAGCAAACATTTTATCAACAAGCAAACAATTATAAAGTCAGTCAACCAGAATAGTATTTTCGATTAAATAATTTTGAAAGTTGAGAATTATCATATTATTCAATAAAAATGTTTGTGATTTTTGAAAGATTATTTCATGAGAAATCGAAGTAAAAAAAAAAACCCACCACAACAAAAATGTTCTCATCAGAAATTTAAGGATATTTCAAACATCTGATATTAATTTTATTGTAAAAGTAATAGGATTTCAGTTTTAATTAAAATGCAAATGTTAGAAGAATGGCTGATTATTCCAACAAGAAAATGTTCCTAGTAACACCTTATATGGGCATACAAAATTAACATCATAATATCACAGCTAAGTGTACATGCAAGTTATAAAGAAAGCCACAGAAGTCGTAAAAACCATGCAATATCATGTAATTTGCATAATTACAGAATTTAATTTCAACATGAAAATGTTTTAAAAACTCCACATCGTATAATGACTAAATCAAATAATTTAGCATGAAAATTTCTCAAGACAAACACTCCAGGTATCCATAATTACGGAATGTTAGGAAGACTGGCAGGTAGTTATCAATTGGTGGGTCATTATCACCTGGTAGGTAGTTATCACCTCGTAGGTAGGTACTACCTGGTTATCATTTCCAATCATTACAAGAAAAAGACTTCTGACACTGTAGTCATGACAACAGTGACTTTTGACCCCATAAAGTAATGGCTGAGACTACAACTACAACTACAACTACAAATTCATCTAAAACAGAAAAATAAATTGCAACTAAATTTAAAGAATTATCACATAAGGAAAAATCCAATGATTCCGATGTTTGGTAGTGGCTTGAGTTAGGAGGTATTTAGGAACAAAGAAAACAAAAATCTTGATATGCAAGGAAACACAATCTTTGAGGAATAAGTTATTTCTTTGAGGTATATTTAGACATCCTGAATATTTATTTTTCTTTGAATTTTATTATTTTTTATCTCAATATTGGCAGTCTTATTTTAATGTAAAACTGTGTAATCTGAGTGAACTTATAAAGCTTGGCTTTTTCACCAAAAATAAAAGAAAAATATCTACATCCTCAAAGCATAAAACCAATACATTACATTGATAATCATGGAAAACAAATATACAACGGCGCCATCTATCATATACAGCGCCCCCAATGGTAGAAAGTGAATGAGCACCATTCATTCAAATAAAACATTGAAAGCTTTGTAAAATTAAAATAAAATTAAAATTAAATTAAAATTAAATTAAAATTAAAATAAACATAAAATTAAAATAAAATTGAAGTTAAAACTTGAGACTGTTCTGTAGTTTACCTACAGTTTGTCTTGAATCATATAATACTTGTTAAGAAGTTGATATACAGCCATCACAAATGTTGTTCACCAAGTATAAAATTTCAGCATCAGTGTTTCACTGTTAAATGCCCAACCTGCACATTGTCTGTTTAGTTCAACCATTTTGCTGGCAGGGGTGAGCAGCATGTGTTGTGAAACCATCTGAGTGAGATTAAAAGTCAGACTTTCTCATTCCTTGTGAGGGGTGTGAAGCTCATGTCTGTGGTACTTTTTAGAAACTGTTGCTGCTTATTATTAGTGGAAGAACGCTCTGTAGTTGATGAAATCCAACCATTTTGGTTTCGTGGAGTGTGTAGAGCAGTCTAATCATAGGATTCAGGAGGAACATACGAAAATCCCATAAATGCGTTGTCTGCTTCCTGGACACTGGCACTGACACCGTTATGATCCATTGATTTGCCGACCGATTGGGGAACAGGTTCCCGTACAAACTCAGGATCGAAATGCCTCAAGTCCATGTGGCCAGTCTAAAGAAGATGATGAGAGACAATACATGAAAGAATACACCTATGCTATTATTGTACGAAAATACAAACTAGTTCAAGAACAAAAGATCGCAAAAAATGACTGTTGAAAAATTTGAGTTGTATTTTACTCATGTATTATGTACGGTCGATGCGATATGTTTATAATCAAACACACTGCTGTATGGATAATTGAATTGTAGCACAAGACCAACTGAATTTAAAGCCAGGGAGTCGTCACCTGCGCATGCGTCAGATGGTCATAGCGTGTCATTGTTTACAAACAAGCATCTACCCATGAGCCTTTGCGATGTTTGCGTGTGTTGCTATCATCGCTTGGGACTCAATTCCCGCACGTGCATAGGTGACGACCCTCCCGCTTTAACCTTTTGAAGTCCAAAGTCAATTTAAATCATCTTTCACAAAATAATTCCATATAAATTTTTCCAGATTTGCAGGAAATGACAAAATTAAAGAAAAATGAGAAAAGTTATGGTATTAAAAAGGTTAAAACAGTTTGTTAGCGATGTCAGGATTTTTATTTGATTCTTTGTAGACATCCCAGAATATTATCTTGTTTCTACTTACCACATTAGGGTTGTATGGTGGCGGTATTTGCCTCGCTTCCAGTTCATCCCAGTTGATGGTGCTGAAAAATGGATGATTTTTAATATCTAAGAAATCAGCCTGGCCCGCACCGAGTCGATTCTGGCGGTCTTTCTGGAGAAGCTGTGGGGAAAAAAGAGAACCATAGAAGAGATGTCAACAGAAGATGTTACAAAGGTGATGCTCTCTTATGAGAATCAAAAAAGCTGCTACTGAAGACATCCGTTCATACAACAAAACACTACATGATGAGTGCGCCCTCTAACAGGATTTTGTAGTGATTTGTTGTATGAATGAAAGTTGGATCGCCTTGTTAACTACTGTGGAATACTTTATTTTCGCTGGAATTAATTTTCTCTGAAAAGACTTTTTGGGCGTTTTGTATGGAATGTATTTTCACTGATTTTTGATGAGTTTAATGTGAAATATAGGAAAAAAGGTATATTCGCTGGATTTTATTTTCACGGTATCCATCCCTTCAGCGAAAATAGCGAAAATAAATTCCAAGCAAAAATAAAGAGTTCTACAGTATTAGGTATCTTCAAAATAAATCCAGATTGTATGTAGTTGTAGGAAGCTTGTGAAGGCACAAACCAAATTGTTGTGACACCTATTTCTTATGTATTTACATTTATTTTGTTTATAACACGTGATTATTACCATATCACAATCTCCATAACTAAGTTTATCGAAAGTTCATTCGAAGATTTGTAACTACGGGCAGAGGTCAATAAACTTTAGTCGAGACACCTAGGTTTATGATTCCTACGGCTAGAGATGTTCTCTAGTTCAGAAATTGAATGAGCTTGTTAAGACACAAAAACTCAAATGATCTCTTTGATACATACCCCTTCTAGCAGCATCCTTGCTGATTGTGATACATTTGTACGTAGACGTAGTGGCTTATAAAGTATATTATCGTACATCTCAGCGGTGTCGCGGCTATAAAATGGTGGCTGTAAAAAAAAAATATCAATAAAATAAATGTCATTGAAAAAATACGGCCTTTTAGTATTTCGGGGACTCAATATAATTCACATCATTTAAAATTTAATTTGATTTTTTGAAGTATGTGCACTTGTGCAAATCACAGAATTGAGCTTATGGGCAAAATGATCCAGTGAAAAATGTTGCAATTTGGTTTACATTCGCATCTATTGGAGATGCACTTCTAATAAAGCAAATATGATAACGGCATTCACCTCTGAGAAACACTTGTAGACATTTTAATTGACATCATTTTATGAAAAAATGGCCGCCAGTAGGACATATTCAATCGGATCTTGAAACAAATGGATATGCATATACATTGTACATGCATATGCCATCATGTATTTTTTTTGAACAAAACAATTGGTGTTCTAAGGACACCCAATGAAGAGAACAAAAGCACTGAGGTAAACGATTTACATCTCCGGGCAACAGCCTCCACGACCTCTGAGAATTTCAAGCTTTGAATTACTGTAATCAGATAGTTACACGTTTAAGTCTGTTTTAAGCAAAATTAGTGTATCAGATAATTAAGTTTCAAAGAGGGTTTAGTTTTATATTTAAACCCTATCTTTAAATATGGTAACAGTATACTGTAACACAGTTATAGCGCCCTCATTGGTATAACAACAAGACTGTAAGTGATAGAAGACCACTTTCTCGGAAGTCGAAGATACAGCATTTTGCATGTGCACAAATGCCATTTTGAGGTGTAACGTGACGTGCATGTGTGATATTGTACTTCTGAGTGTACCGATCAAAGTGACAAAAATAAAATTTCTTTTTATCAAATACCAACACTTGGATAGTTGTAGTTGCACCACGAATAAGGCAGGTGTCGTTCTTGCTCCCTAGTCCCACTACTTCTGGAAAAGTGGTCTATTATTTACAATTTACCACTGAGGGCGCTACACAGTACTCACCAGTCCATACATCATCTCATAGAGAACAGCACCAAGACACCACCAATCGACTGAACGGTCATATTCTTGTTTACGAAGAACTTCAGGTGCCAAATACTGAAAAACAAATATGAACAACAACAGAAATTAATCTAAGTCAATAATGTTTTTACGTTGATTTTTACAAAGCTTTTCAAGACTGTGGCCATATTCCATAGGTTTAACAATCAGAAAATTGGAATCTTCCATTCAGCAAAAAAAAAGAAAAATTAAGCAAAAAATAATTATTTTAGAGTAATTCATTTACACCGCACATTAACATTTTCATAATTTGATTAGAAAATGAATCTTAGCAAAATTCATCCCAGTCTTAGGAACTTGAGTGAAATTGATGATGCTGACAATTATTAGTTGACAACGATTTAGAATTGTTTAAAATAAAATCAAAGATCACAGTTATCATGTATTAAAATTTCAAGTAAAAAAATGCAATTCACACACATTGTAAATGCTGCATTGGATCCATATCAAACACAGGACAGTGACAGTCGGTTTTTAATAAGAATATAACAGATCACTCACTTCCGGTGTTCCACAAAATGTACCAGTTGTTCCAGTAGCTGTTATGTTCTCTTTACACAAACCAAAATCAGTGAGTACAACGTGTCCCTGAGCATCCAATAAAATGTTTTCTGGCTTTAAATCTCTGAAATTTGAAGAATATAGAAACAAAGGTCATGACAGTCAGTATGCACAACTCTGATGCTATCTGGGAACTACATTATGGTAGCCTTAATTATATATTTTCAATTCCTGATTCCCGAATTGACAGTGATTGCGTGTTCATCGCTTGTGTGCTTGAGCATAGAGCATGACTTGAGGTCAACAAAACAGGTGGGTAGAACAGATTTTGAATGTTCAATTTATTTTCTCAGCAAGAAAACATATTTTTAAACTGGTAATTCACATTTATCAGCAGTCTTATATAGTTTTCCTAGCTGTTCCTTTTTGAACCCACCCCTACTAATACCTCTGTTTCAAATATGCCACTGTCTTCGTTAATTTACGTCCCACCCACCCCTGTTTCATCGCGTCTGTCGGTGATTCAGAAATTATACAGTCATGTAATAACAGCGGTTGAACATTCCACAGCGCCATAGTGTCAACGTTATCTCGACAATATATTAATTATAGTAATTTGCATGTATGAGGGCAGACTGTGTCAGTTATCCTCGGGGCGGACATCCGGGCATTTTCACCGCCTGGCAACCATCGGTGAAAACAAAAGCAAAAAACTCGCAGAAAACGGTACTTTGGGATGGTTGTTGAGAGTCCCCTGAACAGTGTAACAAGATTAGCCCTACTTGTGTAACATATATAAATTCTGTTTTTCAGGATTACTTCAAAGTTGAGTTTGTGTTGTTTTCTCGAATTTTTACCGGCTCGACTGGCGTTCCACAGCAGCGCGCACATAGCCCATAGAAATGCATGTACAGTGGTGCGCGTCTTAGCAACGTGGAACGTCTTGTGACGTAGCTCCGCCCCCGAGGATATCGGTGATACAATCACTGTACTGCCCTTACACATTTCTCCTAGTATTCTTATGATAACCTTATTATTATATATTTTTTTCCTGCTTGTAGTACTAATTTTGTGAGAAATCGGCCAAAAATGACAGCAAAATAGAATCACATGGTACCCCTTAATGTCCATAAATGTAACCAATCACTGAGCAGCTCACCTGTATATGATATCAAGCGAGTGAAGATATCCAAGTGCACTTGCAATTTCGGCTGCGTAGAATCGAGCACGACACTCTGTGAAATATCTTTCTTTTTGTAAATGGAAGAACAGTTCACCACCGTTGACGTAGTCCAGGATAAAATACAACTTGTCTTTGGTTTGGAAGGAATAATGCAAGCCAACCAGGAAGGGGTGTTTAACATTCTTTAGTAACACATTACGCTCAGCCATGATGTGTTTTACCTGCATATGTAATATATAAAAAAGTAAGATACCAGAAAGTACAAACATGCAACAAACCCAACTCAATTACAAGATTTGATCTGTGTACTATAGTAAATAAGCTTACTCTAAGGTGCTTAATTATAGCTGCTAGGATAGTTTTAAGCATATGAAATTTAAGACTATATTTTTGAAAATTTTAGATCTACTTCTGCATCAAAATTTACATGTTTGGTAAAAAAATACATCTACGTTCTGAAAAGTCACGTTCCATGTTGAAGTTTGCAGATAAGCATGTCACTATTGGAATTCTTAACATGTTTGCTATAAAATACTTAATTTTCACTTGTAATTTATTTCGCTGAAGAGATGATTCAGTGAAAATACATTTTCCCCTATGTTTTACATTTAACTCGTCAAAAATCGGTGAAATTAAACTCCATACAAAACACCCAAAAAGTTTTTTACAGCGAAAATTAATTCCAGCTAAAATAAAGTATTTCATAGTGTCATTTGAAGGCCTCTGTGTAAAAAAAACAACAACAAAAACAGTGTATTCTGGACTATTCAAGTAAAAGTAAATACTGTAGAATACTTTATTTTCGCTTGGAATTTATTTTCACTATTTTCGCTGAAGGGATAATTCCGTAAAAATAAAATCCAGCGAATATACTTTTTTTCCTATATTTCATATTAAACTCATCAAAAATCAGTGAAAATAAATTCCAAGCAAAACGCCCAAAAAGCCTTTTCAGCGAAAATTAATTCCAGCGAAAATAAAGTATTCCACAGCAAGACATTTTTCAAGGATTGCAATTTGATGGGATTCTTGACCCCCCCCCCAAATACTTGCTAAAAATTTCACAATTTTTCTTGTGTCTTGCAAAAGTAAAGTGGTTTACAGTGTTTTAGGAATTTTGATCAGATGTCCAAAAAAACTCACCTCATTTCGTTTCATAATAGCCTGTTTTTGGAGCACCTTAACTGCAAAAACTTTGCCTTCTTTCTTGTGCTTGGCTAAGAGAACTTTACCAAAGCTTCCTTTGCCAATGACCTTTAAGAAATCATAGTCACTCGGCTTGACACTGAAAAAAAAAATGATTCATTGTTAAAGGAAAAGATATTCATCACTGGGACCACATCTTATTTCATTACATGCCATGAAAAATCATTTTAAAAACATCACAAATGCATGTCATGAACTTGAAAGGGAGGCAAGGTGATAATGAATTTATAATCTGATACTAATGTTGTGTTGACCCATACTATAAAACTATACTGCCTCCTTGGAAAATGAAATTACATTGGGCAAATAGTAAAAAGTAACATTATTTTTGTTTCATTAAAAGCCAATAATTTTTTTGAAAATTTAACTTAAATAGTTTTCTTGTTTGGCAAAACTGCTAAACTACTGAAATAAGAAAATATTCATTCACTTTTAGTCAGCTTGCTTCTGTCCCAATAAATCTGCTTCAAAGTTTATATTAAAAAAGTCATATTTTAATGATCCAGTAAATAGACACAATAAATACAATTTCTGATTATGTACACTATAACTGGATTATTATTCATCTAATTCAACTTTGTTCACATTTCTTAAGACATAATAATCTGATTTGAAATTATCGTTTTCAACTTTTGGCTAAAAACGCATCACGAACACAGATCAGACTTGAATTAACAAAAATAGAAGGCGCTGTGCAATAATTTAACAAAATGTATAGAGGGCGCTACTCTATTACCCACAACACTCGACAGAGGTCACTGTATCGTTAGCCCAGAAACCTACATAAGAGGACATTATACTATTGATATTGAAACCCAGACAACAAACATTATATGCTATTAACACTCAAAAAGAGACATCAAAACTATTTAACTATTTACTCATGCCATCTAGATTTGGATAACTGAAACATTATTACTTATCTCACATCTGGCTTAATAAGGTATATATTATAAAACACTAAATACTCACTTTTGTTTTTCGGTGCCCCCTAGATTAATTTTGTTAGTGTCAGAGCTACTGTCTTGGTCCTGTTCTTCATTGCTGTCTTCGTCCACAGATGTATTACGAGGGTTGTCAAGCAACAGGAACTCTCGTACATCAGGGCTATATTATAAAAGCAGATTTGATTTGAAACATTCTTCATTATTCATCATCTGTCATCATTCATTTATGATTTAGTAAATCACTGAATAGAAAATTTTTTACCTAACTATGATGTCATCATTTATTATTAATTTGACCAATCAATGAACAGAAAAACTAAAAAACTATGATGTCATCATTAGTTCTTTGCCAATAAGTATGTCAATACAGTAAAATCTGTATTAGAAGCCGCATCCCTGATAGAAGTCGCACCCATTCTTTTGAAACAATTGAGAACCAAATATTCATCATTTCTCATATGTGTAGGTGCTCTAGTAGAAGCCGCATCCTCTCTGTTGCATTGTACATTGTACCATTTCAATAGTAGTCCCGGTTTCTAATACAGATTTTACAGTAAATGCATTCATGTGGTACTGTAAAATCTGTATTAAAAGCCACGGCTTCTATTTAATGATACACTGCAACAGAGGGGATGCAGCTTCTATTAACGCATCTACACATATGAAAAATGATGAATCTTTGGTTCTCAATTATTAAAAAAGAATAGATGCGGCTTCTATTAGGGATGTGGCTTCTAATACAAATTTTACAGTAATATACTCCCAAAAACATCAAAATTTGAAATAATTTCTAGTCAAAAGAAATAATTGGCAATTGCTCCAATAGATGTATATTCACTTACAGTCATATTTTAATACAATAAATGCAATTATTGGTTGATGTCACAGTGTAATTTAAAATGCACTTCTAATAGAGCAAATACAGTATTTTGATTTTCAGAAAGAAAAAAAAAACCTTTACTTACTTGAGTAAGACTTTTTGATGTTTTAAAAGTTTTTGTATAAAGTCGTCCAGTCCTTCTCGTCTCTGTTTTATAAAGTCCTTATCAAAATTGTTGCCAAAGATTTTTTTTCCTGGAAGTTTTAGATTTATCTCTGGATATTGTTTCTTCAGCTGTGAGAACAGAGAATAAGGGATAAGAAATATTATTATATATCTGGCACAGAATAAAAATTACTACTCTGTAAAAAGCCATATGAGCACTTATTCCAAATTGTATCAGCACTCGATTACAAATTTTCAAAGTTTCCAAAGTCACCAACAAAATAGCGTTTGAGATTATTGATATCACATTAAAAACTATTCCCCCTTTTCAAATTGAACATGGAAGCGCTATATATTTTGCGATTTCAGACTATAATCTGATTAAATTATTACTACAAGCAAAGAAAAAAGACGTATAATAATAAGGTTATCATGAGAATGCCGCAAAGTATGCACTCAGGCAGTAAGGGATTGCATCAACCTCCAGATGTGCCAGCCAATAATGATCCCCATACTGCCTTTGTGTATACTTTGCGGTATTCTTGTGACAATCTCTTAGAATAGACCAGACTATACCAGAACAAAGCAGATCAAACCAGACTTGACCTGACAAACTAGATAAAACCAGTCTTGACTGACCGACCAACCAACCAACCGACCGACCAACTAACCCAGACCAGACTAAACCAGCAAAACACTAACCCTTTGAATGCAGGAGGTTTTCCTCTCAAAACTTTGGTGCCACATTTTGCAATTTTTTATAAAATTTGTTTGTTAATTTTGGACCAAACAGACAGCATTATCCATTGGTACAGATCTCGATTTTTGAAACAAATACTGCAGTTTTATTTTGTAAAATATGAAAAAAGTTGACCTTTCAAATTAAATTTACTGGAAAAAAATAACTGAAACACATGAACAAACCAAACGTTATCTTACAGTGTATTACTTTATCAGGAAATGGTAATTTTTTATGTACTTTACCTTGGTACAGTGTGACACTTGATGTAATCTTTTCATAATCTAACTCATTAAAATAAATAGGTTACAGGGCTAGCCAAAAACTTCTGGAACATTCAAGTGAGGAATATAATTAATTTAAACTCACCATATCATAAAGTCTGTTGAATTCATTATACCTTCTGAATATAAACCAAGTTTTGTCCCCTTTTGAAACAACAACCTTATACACCTGTAATGAAACAAAAAGATTATAATTAAACTTCTACTGTTGTATAGTCATAAAACATGGAGTCATACATGTATGGTAGTAGCTGAAAGCCCATGTCAGCTACCATTTTAAAAACTGACAAAAACTGAGTCAATTATTCCAAAACAAGATTGCTCAATACAAAGTATATGTAGAGCGGATAGATACGGTAATAGAGGAATAAAGTCACAACTAAATGAATATTAAACATAAAGCTCCTGAAGAGTGAGGTACTTGTACCTTACGAAAGAGTGTTGTAGAGTTTCAATATTCATGTAGTTGTGTATTAATTCCTCTATTGCTGTGTATATATTATGTTTGTAACTACATCATGAGTGAAACTAGAGTGAATTTAAGTACAGCGGCGGTGGCACAGGGGGGTGGGGTGGAACAGAGGGGGCAATCAACCCCTCAAATAAAATTGGGGGGGTCGCCTCTCCAAAATCAAGCTGAAACCCTTTGTGTCAGTAAAATTCGCCCCTCAAAATGCAAGAAATGGCATTTCAGAGGCATTTCAAAATTTGTAAAAGGGAGCACAGATTTGGTGAGCAGATCTCACCCCTCCATGTTAAATTTCGTGTCGTCGCCTCTGAAGAACATTTCACATAAATTGTCATCACATAATTGTATAATCTAAACTTGTTGTTATATGTACTTTCCTGTGGTTTCAAATACCAATGTAGGTCTGATTCCCTGTAACCATACCCTCATATAATCCGCCAATGGATTAAACAATTTATTATAAATTAATTTGTGATCTGAAATATTTAATAGTTCTCAAAATAAAATTGAGTTTTTAAGATAAATTTATATTTTGTGTCTACTGAACATATTACTGCTAGCTCATATTAGATTGAAAATTACATTTATAAACTTTTTTCAAAAAATAATCTTCAAGAAATTGTGCTGCAAAAAAGGGATCTGACTGATCAACTTCAAATTTGCAGTACAATTAGTTGTCTGTCTATTGAACAAAAAAATATAAAATATGACATGTACATAGTACCGGTAGTAGTGTTTCCTGGTTTTGATTATAACATCCCCAAACAGAAAGTTAATGGAAGGGAAATTTCAACTGATTACTATTGACAAATACATGTATTATCATAAAGGAATCATCTGAAAATTACAATAATGTTATACCACTATTGAAATTCACATCATTTTTTAATCTTTTCAGCCCATGTTACTATGGTTATTAGTAACCATGGTGAGACGGGACAAAGTTATGGGATATTAAGCATATATTTTCACCACAGAAACCAGGACAAAAATAAAATAAAATAAAAAATATCTGATGATAGGAAATTTATTTTAAATAGTTTCCAGTAAATTTCTTGGCTTACAAATACACTTTGCAAAGAGATGCATTTCTGATAAAGTACATGCAATACTGAAAAGTACACTTGTTGCTATATTTACAAAAATATCGCTGCATACAAAGAATGCAGTAGACGTGTATACAATCACACTGTTCACTTCAGACGCCATTCCCGAACACAATTCAATAGCAGATACACTCGTACGCACCACACATACCCGAAATGACAACATACTGCGGCGGTTATACTCACAGTGAATTTCTTTGACTTTTCCCACGTCTCAGCATCTGGAATACGCACACTAGTTCGATTGTCTGTTGTCGCCATCTTTACTCTATGCGCATACCCGAGTGGTTCACAATACTAATAAGTTTTTTTTTTTTTTATAATAATACGAACTGCTTTCTTAACACTGTCATTTCATGGTGATATGATATCTCTGAAACATAATTAAACAATACTGAGACTCAGTTAAACATGTTTGATATTTCAACTTGAGCCACATGCTGATAGAGACATGTCATGCTAAGTAAAGTAAAGGTCAGAAGAGGGACAAACAGAATCAAAGGTTGAATCTATCATACAAAGGTCATTTATGAGACATCCACTGATTTTTTACATTCTCTGCATGATAATGACCTGTACAGTGCTTTATTAATATGTATATGTGTTATAATGACCTGTATAAGTGTTATAATGACCTGTATATGTGTTATAATGACCTGTATGTGTTATAATAACATGTTTACGTGCATGCCATAATTCTATAGTATAGTATTAAAATGACCTTTATACGTCATAGTAACCTACATATACATGTACGTATGTATATTAACCTGTGTATGTCAGAATTAATAACAAAACAATATCTTAAATAACACATTAATAGAAAAGGAAATTAATTACATAAAACAGATTCTGAAATAATATTTCTCAAAATCACACCTCATCTAATTGCACTGAAAGTTTAATTGAAAATTTAAAATACAATTAAATAAAAACATTAGTTTTACCTGGGATTAGTTTCCTAAATTAAAATATTACATATATAATCACACACCATATAATTACTGTTCGCCATAATTAATTAAATGTCATTAGTGTAATGATTTACCAGTAGTTTTGAACAACAAATCCAAAAGTCAAAGGTCAGACGGCAATCAATGTACATGTATTCATTGATAATTGTATTCTGGCTTTTTAAAATACGACTTATTTTGACTACTATAAAATACTTTATTTTCACTTGGAATTAATTTTTGCTACTTGTGCTGAATGAATGATTCAGTGAAAATAAAATCCAGCGATTATCTATATTTTACAGTCAACTCGCAAAAAATCACTGAAATTCCATACAAGACATACAAAATTAATTCCAGCTAAAATAAAGTATTTTACAGTATACATATGCTCCTGAATTAAGCGTGTACTGTACGGTCTGGGCGAAACATAGCTTATAAACTGGCTCTGCACTGGCTTTGTCGTTTCATAAAAACTTGTAAAGCGACAGTGATTTTGACTTTGTATTACTGACCCATGTTACTAATATAAGTCATATTTGATATTTGATGATTTTATACCAAGCAAAATTGTTAAGTTGCGCACCGAACTTACTGTATGCCATTAATAACGTATGGCCAATGTATCATCCCTCATTATAAATCAGTTCACAGACGAATGTGCTAGCGACGCCGCATCCCTGACATTTTCACTAATGACCAAGTAGTAAATAGCTCCCATCTAATGCATTTCACGAAATTCGACTCAGGGGATCCTTTCTCATCTGCCAAACTAATATAGTTTTCTATATATAGTTATATTTGTATGCAGTCAGTGGTCTAGTACATTGATCATTTAATAAACGTCATGTCACTTTTACTGATTAATGACAACAGAGACAGATGATGCAATTGCCGCTACATTGTACACAGTGTAGTGTTTTTCTCCAACATGTAGTACAGTATACTGTCATATACTAAATATTCGGGATAATTCAGTGAAAATACCTTTTTTTTCTACATTTTACATTCAACTCATCAATAATCAGTGAAAATAAACTCTTTTTTTTCAGTGAAAATTGATTTCCAGCTAAAAAAAATGTATTTTACAAGGATAGGATGACATCATAAATAACTTATACCTTATACAAAACAATAAATACTCAATTGTAAGAAATTATTTTAATTTGTTATACAAACATTTTAAGAGATAAACTCAAATTAAATTCAGTGTACCATAGTTGCTCTATTGAAAGTGCATCACACATAAACAAAAAATCAAATTTGTTGTATATCGAATCATTAACAGTAGGCAAAGGGAGTCTCATGACAACACTTAGGGAGTTACAGTACACCCTAAGTATAGCATAATAAGTTCACTCTGGTCCGGCATGGAAGTAGGAAGCACTTCCCAGGATGTAAGGTGATCGGCACAAGAAATATATTTGTATGTTTCCCATAAAGGGAAGTGGTCATCATGCATCATGTATGTAAAACAAATGTAAAATACATTGTTTATTAATTTGAAATTCGAACGTGCACTGAGTGACGACCACCACCCTTTAAGGGAAGGATTTGCTACTGCATTGTATGTATACGATATGTACCTAACAATGAGAGTAACAGTCATGACCAGTAATGACCAGTAATGACCAGTAATGACCAGTATTACCGTAAAATCTGTATTAGAAGCCGCATCCCTAATAGAAGTCGCATCCATTCTATTTGAATAGTTGAGAACCAAAAATTCATCATTTCTCATATGTGTAGATGCTCTAATAGAAGCCGCATCCTATCTGTTGCATTGTACCATTTTAATAGAAGCCGCAGCTTCTAATACAGATTTTACAGTACAACCAGTGTTTTTCCTAGCTAACATTCCCGTTTGAAGACAATCCCTCATATACACTCTGCAAAGGTTGATGTACATGCACATCAAAGAAATTACACATTACATTAAAACAGTGCTCCAATACAGAAAATAAATGACACATTGATTTAACCAAGACTGATCATTTATTGGATACTGTGAATACTCATCCAATGGTAAAACACTTTGCTAAGTATGTATATTATAGTTTTTAAATAACAGACTATAGATGTATTTATTAATTATCGCTGAGAGCTCCTTGCAATCAACATTTTAAATTTATTTACATGCATGGTTCAGATTTCACCTGTGTTGTATAACAGTGTATTACATTGTACTGCATCTTGTTTATTGATTTAATGTTGCAAGTTAGATGTTGGTCTTGCCCCTCTTTTAATGAGCTTTGACCCTGTAACTAAGACTAATTACTTGTTGTTATGATAATGGAATCTTCCACTCTGAGTTGAACCAATCCCAGTTCTGTATTGAGAACATTATGCAAATATTCAAGTTACCAGATTTTTGGAAGGAGTAGTTCTTGTTTACTTCAATGTACTCTGATGTATTTAAATAAATGGGACCTCATGGATCTCTGATTTGACTTTATGCCACTTGAATCTATTCTACTCCACACAACACAACCCTTATTCTCTAAACCTCACTTTACCACATTAGTGTTGATACTGCTGTACTATTTTAAGTCAGTGTTGTGTCAAATAAATAAAAACAAATATATAATATACATATAACTTCCTCTCAACAGGCCATTTGATTGTTCTTATTACTGAGGAGATTAGAGTAAAGCTTATTTAAAATCTCCACTACTTTAATGTTGTACTTTGTACTCTATATGCAACAACACCCTGCACAGTATAGTCTCACAACAAATTTACTTAAACTGTAGGGGTTTACCATTAGAAGCTCTGGAACAAGAGTAGGTAGAAAAATTTGCCAATCATTTTTTTTCTAAATTATTTTCGGTAGGTTAATACACTTCAGCAGTGAGGTTAATACATTTCAGCAGTTTTTGTTGTTGTTATTTTCCCTGCAGAATTTTTAAATGTTTTCAGGGCTGATTTTATAAAGCCAGAATTCAGTTTTAGTGGTATACTCCTTTTAGGATTAAAAATTAAAGAGAGATTTAATAAGGTTCTCCAATGAGTGACTGTGTTGTATTGGATTTCTTAAATGAGTGTACTGGTAGTAACTTTAATACTTCATGAGTTTACTAAATTCAATATCACATGGTCATGAACTAAAGATCCTAATTATCAAATGCAACCGTTTCACAGCTTTTTGAAGCCATGAATACTGCATAATAGCAAATTGCATGCATGTCCATGACTTATTGTCCAATATCTCATTTGCATTTGGGGGTTCCTTGAACTCAGATTAACGTTAGTGACAATTCATTGCCTTCGATGAATGATTTTTACCCTTCCATGGACAAATTGACATTTTACTTTGAAAGTAGGTAATTCTATCAGCGGTCTTAAAAAATCTCAGACATATTTGGCTCCTAGCACATCATGTAAACGAATACCAGTGTGTTGCCAAGTCAAGATCAAGAAATTAGAAATTCATATATGTATATATACGACTATGAACACTAACACTACTAGACTATAGATGAGACATTAATATTTAATATTAATATTTTGAACAGAAAAGAATAATTGTCTAGTCATCAAATGAGACATTTTTTGACATCATGGAAATGACGCCATAATATTAAATTGCATGTCTCAAACAATCACATCATCAATAGTCCTTTTGATTCTGGAGGTGGGATATCGTAAATATCCAGTGGTCTGTATCACATGTACATGAGATGTACAACACATTACCAGTGGTATATAAAAAGCAATATGCATTTTTTTCCTATAGTCCAATTCTAGTGATTGACAATTTAATTCACTTTTAACTCTTTATTTACTAACTAAAATTTCAGACAACAATTTGGCACATTTTAATGGCAATTATGTCAATATTTTTTCAAATAATTTTGAATCAGATTGACAAAATTACAATTTGGCTATAGATTTTGAGTAAAATATTAGGAAACGGGTTACATGTACATTTGTATATGTGTTTTATTTTGTGATAGGTGACAAAGGGATTAAATTAAACCTTTGAGCGCTAAAGTAAAATTTTGTCACCTTGACATTTTAAAAATCCACAAGACTAAAAAAATTAGCCCCAAAATATATGGAAAAATACATAAAAACCATCAAAATTGTATCAAAATTTTGGTGGGAAAAATAATATAAATGATTTTTTCTCAGTAATTTTTATTTTCGCTGATCTTTGAAAAATAAAGTACTTGCCACCGTAATGAAATACGAGGAAACACGCCATTGACTATTAGGAGGCGGGGAGGACTAAATATTATCTTTGATATGTATGACCGGATTCCGACAGTAGCATTTAACTGCTGTGGGCGAGTATAATGACCAGACTGTTACCGTAAATGCCACCATTCATAATGCAACAATGGGACATGTATGTTACACACGGTACATTTATATTCATCTCTATGAATGTCCTTGCTATTTCAGAATCCATACATAC